CCCGCCCCTTCCCCAACTCCGCCACTGCGGAAACTGACTAGCGGCGTACTTGGGGAAGCGGCTGAAACTGACGAGCGGCAGACAAGCAGCGGACCAGAGCAGCTGGGGTGCTGCCGGGTTGATCCTGCAGCGCCGCCCCTCACCCCCCTGCTTGGAGATAACTACTGCAGTCTGGGGGGGGGGGAGCCTGCTCCCTTCCTGGAAACTCTTGGCGGTGGCGCGGGGCTTCCCCTGCCGTCCTGCAAAACGGCGGAGGGTTTGCCCCTTGCTGCACTGTTCCCTGCCCACCCCCCGGATGCAGTGCAGGTCTCCGAAGACCCGTCACAGCCCCCCGCCAGAGTACCTCCCGATACTCTGGCATATCTGATAATCCAGCACCACCTAGGTCCCAAAGGTGCCAGATTATCGGAAGTCTATTGTATTTAAACCTTTCACCCAATATATTCCAATGTAAAAGGTAATACATTAAGCTAATTTAAGTGGAAGGTTTGATTATGCAAATTTGGTATCTGTAAGTAATTGTGAAGTATGACTTTATTTTGCACAAACAAATCCACAAAAAAACCCCCCTGAGCTCTTCAAAATATATAGTAGATTTGGGATTTTGTGGGAGGGCCCTACAGGAAGCCATAATGGGGGAAGGATGAGGTTATTTTGGGGGGAGTGATAGACAGAAAGATTGAGGGGGCAGGGCAGTGAACTCTGTAGAAGGGAGTATGCAAAGAGAAGAGACTTACAAGAAGAAAATATGGGAGGGAATGAGCAACATGAGGTATTGAGAGGAAATAAGGTTAATCTAGCAGCTTTTTTACTTTCACACAAATAAATCAACTAAATCCACTTTACATGCCCCTCTACACAATGGGGGAATCAGAGACCTTAATAGGAACTTCCATCCCCACCCCCTCCCATCTGGGAGATGTAGGAAGCTATGTGGTGAGGGGGTGAGACAGACTGACGAGCAAGATGGATCAAATCTTAGGTTACAAGGTTTAAGATTGCTTAACAGATCAAGGAGGGATTTTAACCCCGTGTATAATGTTGCTTAGTTGACTGGAAGCTGTATGAGGAACTTTTGTCTTTTGCTAAAATATTCTGTGTTGACCCCTGCCACAGAGGGGGTACAAGGCTAAAGGTATATCTATACCTCAACATTATTGTAAAATAACTAGCTTTATTTTGAAATAACTTAGCCCATGTCTACACAGTAGGCAATTATTTTGAAATAGTGTCAAAATACTGTCAAGCTGGAGGACTATTTACTCTGATTCCTCTAACTGTCATTGTATGAGGAGTAAGGGAAGTCAGAGGAAGAGTGCTCTACTTCAAAATAAGTGCTGGAGGTATAGCGTGTTGTCCAGAGCAACCCTAAGAAAATTCAGACGTTTGTCAATAAATGCCTTAGACACATTCTCCAGCTAAAGTGGTACAATAGAATGCCAAATGAAACCTTGTCGACCAAAACAAATCAGAAACCAATGAAGGTCCAGATTAAGAAGAGAAAATGGTGATGGGCAGGTCACATCCTGCGTAAGGACTGTGAGGAACATATCATGGGACAAGCGTTAGAATGGAATCCAAAGGGAAATGTAAAGTGCTCCACTTAGGAAGGAACAATCAGTTCCCTACGTACAAGATGGGAAGCGACTGTCTAGGAAGGAGCGAAGACTATTGCTAAGAATTGTGGAGGCCCTATTCTCCATTAGGAGCCCAAAGGACTAATAGATAGATAGACACTCCCAATTTCAAAATAAGCTATTTTGAAATAAGCTACACAATTGATGTAGCTCTTGCATAGCTTATTTCAAGTTAAGCCCTGCTGTGTAAACACACCCTAAAAGGATCAAGTGATGTGATCTGGCAGGGATACTGCACTAGTTAGGATATTTCACTAGACAGTTGTTAGTCTGATTTAATACGGTAGAAGGCTGGATTCCTAGCAGGATCTACTTTCTTGCAGTGCTGGGATACTGGACTAAACAGAGCAGTAGAGTGTGATCTGTTTTGGTGGAAGGCAGGACTCTGGATGAAGTAGGTCACAGGTCTAAGTGTGGCAGGGTCACAGGCGTAGCAGGACCACTGGACATCCAGCCATTGAGAAGGAGGAGGAGAAACAGTGCTGTGTTTGTACAAGTCCAGCACTCTTGCTGCATACCTTTGAATCCATCAGAATTATGGTATTGGAGGGCCTTGTTCTCCACATGTGCTGTGCATGTGCATTCTTGTCTGTTTCTAATGCATCTTGGCTTTTTAAAATATTCACCATTGGAGGGAGAGCCATGTCAGCTCCAGGCAGCATGTTATCTGTTAGTCCATGAAATATTCATGTGCTCGATAAAGATTACCTGGGTAGCTGGAGAGATGCCATCTGGGGAATATACTGCCTGCCAGCAGCCCAGAGCTAAGGCAGCTGAACAAGAGATTTCCTTCCTTCCTTCCTTCCTTCCTTCCTTCCTTCCTTCCTTCCTTCCTTCCTTCCTCTATTTTCAGATTTTCATGCTCTGCATTTGCATAGACTTATGTAGAGAGAATGACTCAAATCTGATTTAGAAAATATTCTTTGTTTAACAAAAATAATCCCATTGGTTATGCTATCAGAATGAAGCCATGTCCCAGAAATGTGCTGATGAAGCAAAGATATATCAAAGTGCAACCCTAGTGCCAGAATGGCACAGACAAGTATGGCATCACATGGTGCATAGCTACAGCATCCCAGAGGTGGCTTGGGGAAGGATTATGCCTCTTGGAGGAGGGATGAGGTCCTGCTACCTCCTTACCTTCTTTGGTGTGGTGTGCATCCTTATGAACACACAAAAGGAGTAAATCCCTGTGTCCCCTGGAGCATGGGTACTGCTGTTGTGCCCTCCTTGGGCTCCCCCCCTCCCACCATAAAGGCTTGGAATGATCTCATCTTTAAAATTATTTCATTATGTTTTTTAAATGGTATTTTCTAATTTTTATAGACAAGAAAATGAAAGAATCAGTAAGAAACAAGCAAATCAAGTTTTAAATTCCAGGACTTCAGAGTATTGTTGACTTGCAAAAAATATATGTATACATTTGATACACTGACCTTCAACCCCCAACCTTTTGTATTGGTCTCAGAAAAAAGGTACATTGGTGGGCCATTGTTTTTGTGTGTACCTTGTGCTGCTGCAGTCATTGCTACACTGCTTTGGGTCTAAACAGAGGACATTAATTTCCAAAGGCAATGAAGCCTGGCATCTTCCACCAATATTAAAATTATTTAGGAAAATGTAAAATGGTTGCTTGGATTAGGGGTGTGAAAGGTTAATTGGTAAGCCTGGGTATGTCTACACTACCACCCTAGTTCGAACTAGGGTGGTTAATGTAGGCAACTGGAGTTGCAAATGAAGCCCGGGATTTGAATTTCCCGGGCTTCATTTGCATATTGCCGGGCGCCGCCATTCTTAAATGTCCGCTAGTTCGGACTCGGTGCCCGCGGCTACATGCGGCACGAACTAGGTAGTTCGGATTAGGCTTCCTATTCCGAACTACCGGTACACCTCGTTCTACGAGGAGTAACGGTAGTTCGGAATAGAAAGCCTAATCCGAACTACCTAGTTCGTGCCGTGTATAGCCGCGCGGCACGGAGTCCGAACTAGCGGACATTTAAGAATGGCGGCGCCCGGCAATATGCCAATGAAGCCCAGGAAATTCAAATCCCGGGCTTCATTTGCAACCCCGGTTGCCTACATTAACCACCCTAGTTCGAACTAGGGTGGTAGTGTAGACATACCCCCTTACCCTTAATGGAGGAGGCTTACTGGTTAGATTGGTGAGGGCTGGATTGGTGGAATCTCCTGCGGGGCCCACTGTGGTGGGGAGATGCTCCAGCCTGGCTGGAACAGTCCCTGCTCACTGTGGGGAGGCTCACTGTCCCTGGCTGTAGCGGCTCCCTCCCCCACATCTAATCGATTAACATAAAGTTTAGGCAGTCAACTAATTAAACAGGACTTTACATCCCTAGCTTGAGTAAGGCTTGATCCTTGGAGGTTCTGAGTATACTGGACTCCTAGGGAAATCAATAGGTCGTTAGAGACTTGACCAGAATCATTCAACAGTACTGGCAGAGCTGGGGCTAAAACACAAGGTTTCCATCTGGTGCTTTACCTGCTGGAACAAGCTGAATTCCCTAGTTCCCTAATTCACCGAGTCACTGATTTGCAAACCTTTCCCTAGATCATAGGGAAAGCTGGGATCAGAATTCTGACTTCTGGATGAGGCCAGTCATTATCTCAGAACACAGATTTCTCTGCAAGTGAGGTGCATGGGACTGAGATTCAGGAAGGAGTCTTGTAGGGAACATATTGAGCTGGAGTAGCTGGTGTTTGGAAAAGCACAAAGGATTTTTCTTTTAACAGAAATACTTCTGGATACAACAGGAGAGACCTCAGAAATTGGTTGGACCACTCAACCTCCTGATGGGGTAAGTGTTCTCTTTCCGTTTCCCTCTTTCCCACCACCTGTAAGGAAGGCTTACAAAGCCAAGCGGAAGTGGGGGTGGAACATTATAGGTTTCTTTTCCAGCTTTCTTGAATATGGAGTATCCGAAGTGGTTTACAGTGAGCTGAGTCAGACACTGGGCCACATAGGCAAAGAGATTAGAAGCTTCTGTCTGAGAGAGGGGAATACTAGGGGTACAATGTTAGATTCATTTTCAACTCTCTGGATGTTTTTCCCCCTTCAGAAGTACTCATGAAATCTTCAGCTTTCTCAGGACAGCACAGTTGAGTCAGAGCCGAGTGTAAGAAGGATGTTCTCCAAAGGATGTTCTGTCTGTTTTGTGCTAACTCTGTCTGTTATGTGTGTCTCCTCTCGGTCTTGAAGCAACTGCTGCACTGCAGCATCCCATTTCCCCCCAGTACTTTCCAGCAAAGCCAGCCTGAGGTACTCCCTGCTCAACATAGGAGTGAACTGAGCTGTGTTTCACATCTCCTCTGCAGGACAGCCCCTCTTAACAGTGCAGCACCCTCTGCCCTGAGTTCTGTTGGCATCAGCCCACGTCCCAATATGGGCGCAGCACTGTTTGCCTAAGGGGCAAGTAGCAGGCTCAAATAGAAGCAGCCTGTTGCAAAGGTAGTGAATTCTGGTCCCAGAGATGATTGTATCCCAGTTTTGAAACCCCTCTAACATCTTCTCCACCTCTCTCTCCACTACCAATTCACTACAGTGGGATGAGGTGAGTGTCCTGGATGATAAGAAGCATCTGATCCGAACCTTTGAAGTCTGCAATGTGGCTGAGCCAGGCCAAAATAATTGGCTGCGCACTCACTTCATAGAGCGGCATGGTGCTCACCGAGTTCACGTCCGCCTCCGCTTCTCAGTGCGAGACTGTGCCAGCATGCGAACCGTGGCTTCTTCCTGCAAGGAGACCTTCACTCTCTATTACCATCAGGCAGAAAGTGACATGGCTACGCAGGACCTGCCTGAGTGGCGTGAGGGGCCCTGGACCAAGGTGGACACTATTGCAGCCGACGAAAGCTTCTCTCAGGTAGACAGCACCGGGAAGGTGGTGAAGATGAATGTGAAGGTGCGCAGCTTTGGACCACTCATCCAGCATGGCTTCTATCTGGCCTTCCAGGACTCAGGGGCCTGTATGTCACTGGTGGCTGTGCAAGTCTTCTTCTACAAGTGCCCAGCTGTGGTGAGGGGGTTTGCCTCCTTCCCTGAGACCTTTGCTGGTGGAGAGAGGACCTCACTGGTGGAGGCTATGGGGACCTGTGTGGCAGATTCAGAGGAGGCAAGTACAGCTGGGTCCTCTGGTGTCAAGCTGCACTGCAATGGGGAAGGCGAGTGGATGGTGGCCATTGGGAGATGCACCTGCAGGCCTGGCTACCAACCTACTAATGATGAAAGAGCCTGCCAAGGTGAGAGACTTTCTTCTTCCCCCACACTGCCTATACCTTTTCCTGTTGGGTCTCTAAGCCACAGTGAGCAGCTGCTGAAAGATGCCAGAATTAGAACCCTGGAGACCACATCCTCCCCTCACTACCCAAGCAGTCATAACAGCAGTGTGTCCTCTTCACAATCAGTGTATCTCAGTCCATGCAGGACCAATGTTCCCTCTAATCTTTTCCATTCATGTGTGGAATAATTTATGTGCACCGAGGCATGTGTGAATGTGCACCACCAGTAAAAAACAAAAAACCTAGCTATGGGTGCTGTGATAATCGGCTTGGCAGCACCTGAATCTCTCCTGAGTGGCTGTACAAGCGCAGAGTTTACAGGGAACATAGTTCATGGCTTTTGTTGAGGCTGCCAGCATATAGTGCCAGTGATGATCATGTTTGGTGAGGAATAGTCAGCTGCCCACTAGGAATTGGACTCAACCCCTACTTCATCCTCAATTCACACAAGACTCAGATTGGGCCTCAGTTTGGGAAGTCCTGAGCATTCACGTCCCACAATGAGTTTGAGATTTCCTGACCTTTAACCCTATGCTGAATCCATTAGATTACACTGCTTCTAGAGTGGTTTATCTAGAGCGTAGATTCCTACTGTGCTCCACACAGCATATAACATCACAACATAGCAGTTTAGAAAAATGCCAGAAATAAGAGTAATGTAATATTCAGTTTCAAATGTGGGATCAATTGTACACAGTGGCTGCATCTAGACTGGCATGATTTTGCGGAAATACTTTTAACAGAAAAGTTTTTCTGTTAAAAGTATTTCTGCAAAAGCGCATCTAGATTGGTACGGATGCTTTTGCGCAAAAGCATCCATGGCCAGTCTAGACGCGATTTTGCGCAAGAAAGCCCCGATCGCCATTTTAGCCATCCGGGGCTTTTTTGCACAAAACAGTTTTTCCCTGTCTACACTGGCCCTCTTGAGCAGGTATTCTTGCGCAAGAAGGCTTTTTCCCGAGCGGGAGCGTGAAAGTATTTGCGCAAGAAGCACTGATTTTGTACATTACAAAGTCAGTGCTCTTGCGCAAATTCAAGCGGCCAGTGTAGACTGCTGGCTAGTTTGCAAAATCTTGCCAGTCTAGACGCACTTAGTGGGAATGTAATCTACCCAAATAAGAAATTGGCCAGGACACAAGGATTAAGGCTCCCGTGGTCAATGCCTATGAAAAATGACATACTGTCTTTAAAGAACCATCACGGTGTACATGCATTATATGAAGTGATTGATGATGCAGTTAAGATGGATGTAGCTTAATTTACAGCCTTATTAAAATAATGTTTGACTATAAGTTGAAAAATTAAAAACAAAATTTCACAGTTGGGAAAATCATAATGCAGGTGGCCAGCAAAGTGAAAAAATTGCTCTGTGCTGTTTATTTGTTTTATGTTGTTTTAAGATGGATTGAAAAGTAGAGGCCTGTTCCTCCTACTTGTTTACCTTAGGATCAGGAGTGCCAAGTCTCATCTTTCTGCTTTTTGCTGGAAGGCTTCCTGGTTGATTCAGGGCTTGTCTAGAACTGAAAAAACTGGCGCTTTTCCCAATGCAATTAATTCAGTCAAGCTAGCTAAACTCTATTCAAATCTCCACTTACAACTAATGTTAAAAAAAGTGTAACACCTTCAACTTGATTAGACCTGCTAATAAGTCTCTGTCTTTGTCTGATGTGCAGGAAAGTCTGGCCTGGCTTCTCTAGTTCCTCTATCCCCCGTTGATTAGTGAGAATTACACTGTCCAGTCTCCAAAGCCTCTCAGTGAGTTGCTCTCATTGGCACCTTTTGCCTTGTGGCAAGCACCTTTCAGGTTTTTGATTCCTCACCTGCACTGAATTTTCATCTAGCAAATCCTCTCCTTTGTCAGGCTTTTGGAGATGTTCTTGTAAATGTATCGATTTCTGACGTGTTCCCAAATCATGCTGCTGAGTGACCTCACACCAGATGCCCACCCAAAACCTTGGTGTCAGCCTCTAGTCAGCTGGCAAGAAGCTAGGAGAAGTAACTCCCAGATAGCATTGCTGTTCAAATGCTGGGTAGAAGTAGAGCAGGCTACCTGGAATAGGGGATTTAAACCTCTTTTCAGTGTATATATACTAGTAGATGACTTCTAGTGCAGGAGAAGGAGTAGGTCCTTAGAAAGCTTCTTGAGGCAGAGGCTTTCTTTTTGTTCTGAGTTTCTATAGTGATTCACCCCAGATTAGAGTACTAAGGGAATAGTGGAAAGCATTACAGGACTGTTAGGACCTCAATTAAGCATCTGCACTGCAAAGCGGATGAGATACCAGAGCTTGGACTCTAATCTAGACCCAGAGCCAGGCCAGCTAGCTTGAGTTTAAAGCATCTCCAAACTAGGGATGTTAAATATCGGTTAATTGAATAGTTGAGTAACCTCATGAATTCTTATCGGTTACTTGCCCTACCCCCTATAGTCCCAAGGGGAGGGAAGGGTGCTGGCAGCCACTGTATCAGAGACAGCAATGCAGGTTGTCAGGCAGGAGCTGATCCATGAGGGGAGTCAGTTTAAAAACCAGCTCCCTTTGTGGACTGGCTGCCTGTTGCCCAGTGTTGCTGCCTCCTATAAGGGCAGATCTAAGATGGATCTGAGCTCCAGGACTCAGCACGAGCTGGAACTGAGCTGTGCTGCCTGCCGGTCTGTCTCCTAATACACTTTAAACACAGAGCCGCAGCAGGAGTAAGTTCTGGACCCTGTGCAAGCCAGAACTGAGCCGGACTGCTGGCCAGCCTGCTAAAAAATTTACTGGCAACGGTGGGGGGAAGAATTCATGTAGTCTGTAGCATTAATCTATAAGCGTTTGCTTATCAGTTAATCGACTACACTGTTAGATCCCTACTCCAAACCAGTTCGGAGTTTTTATGTATGAATGGTTTTGAGTACAGGCAGTCCCCGGGTTACGTACAAGATAGGGACTGTAGGTTTGTTCTTAAGTTGAATCTGTATGTAAGTCGGAACTAGCGTCCAGATTCAGCCGCTGCTGAAACTGACCGCCAGTTCTGACTTACATACAGAATCAACTTAAGAACCCCAAGCGTCCCCAAGTCAGCTGCT